TTTTTTTTTTTTTTTTGAGACAAGGCCTCCCTATGTAGCTCATGCTGCCTTTGAATTCGTTCTGTAGTCCAGGCTGGCCTTGAACTCATGGCAGCCCTCTCACCTCAGCCTTCCAGAGTACAGGCATGCACTACCATGCCTGGCAACCATAGGGATATTTTCAATCTTCTAGGTTTCTTAAATCAAAAAGCATCAGTAGTAGATCAACTACTTGTTAAAAATTGTGGGTTATGGTGTAACTGTTAGGTCTGTAGTTTACATTTCTGAGCAGTGTGAGCCATGAAGTTGTACCCACACATGGCTTCTCAGAAGCTGTCTTCTCCATATGCTCTTTTACATCCCAACAGAATTTTTTTCTACATTCATTATTACCGGTATAAAAATATTTCTATTTTTAATGTTTTATTTCCTAAGCAAAAATTAAATCCTAGCCACTTAAAAAAATTTTTTAATTATACCTACTTTTCCAAAAGTAGTTTTAAATGTTCAGGCCTGACTTCCATAGAGATGGAAGACAATTTCCCTCTCTGCTGCACAATTTGCTTCAAATACAGTCATTTTTCAACTGACTTTGTGCAAACTGCCTGAATAATTATACTTCGGTCTTCTAAAGTTTTCTAGGTTTATCTTGATTCATCATAGTGCTGAGAAGACAAAAAATAAATTATCTTTTAAGTTCTAGTTCATCTGAATTTTAGTGAAGATTTGTCTCCTCACTAAGGTATTTATCTACAAGTCTGAGAGACACTGGAAACTCCAGTGTCATGGCCCCATTGTTCCAGGACGTTTTAAATACCAAGCATCTTGAGCAAACCACCGCTCTCCAAGTCTTCATCACAGAGAGAGTCATGGTGTGGTTGGCCTCTGAACCAGGGAGATGCTTAGGAACTTTCTCAGTCAGGCAGGCAGAGGTTCTAGATAATGCCTGGAACTCAAGTAAGACACAGTGGGGTATGGATTTGACCTCTATGCTTCATGTTTTTACAGTAATTACTTGGCATGTACTTATCTTCAACTGTTTTTCTTTTCTTTTCTGAGTAGACTTCCTGTGAGAGTTCAATATTCAAAACTTTTATTTATTTATTTATTTTTGGTACCAGGGATCAAACTCAGGACCTTGCGCTTGCAAGGCAGGCACGGCACCACTGAGCTAAATCGCTGGCCCTCAAAAATGTTATATTAACATCAAAAGCTGTGAATTAATAAGAAAAGTGCACTATGTCTCCTTGACCAAATTAACAGAGGGAGGGAAGGAACAAACCAGTTAGGGTTAGTTCATGAAGGTGGTAATGGTGCTTAGGGCCTCAGGTGAGGGAAAAGAGCAGAAAGGCAGTGAAGGCAGAAGCAGGTGCGAGATGCTGGCTACATCATCTCTTTAAGGTCATGCTGAGCATATTCTCTGCGGGGAACGAAAGTCAGTGTCTAATGATGTGAAGACACAAGACAGGTATCACAGTGGCCGGGAACTGCTTGCTGCTTTTCACTGGTGTACTTGCTGTTTAAAAAATATTTTGTTGGAAACAAGATTGCGAGAGCAACAATCCCTGCCAGGCAGGAGCTCACTGTTGGGTGGGGCAGTCCACAAACAAGGATTTACTGTGGTCCTCTAAAACTGTGAAATGATTATTACAAAAGCAGTAAATGGGATATTTCAAGTGATAAATTACATCCTTGTGAACTTTTAGCTATAGAATTGATTTGAAACTTCTATTTAAAAACATAACTGAGTTGCTTTGAATTTCATACCAAATTTGAGAAGCCTCACGGTGTCTTTTGGTTTCTGTTTGTTGTTTTTGTTTTTAGCAGATGGTCCATTCCTTCAAATATTAGAGCAACCTAAACAGGTAAGAAGACTAAAGGGGTGGGACTTTCCCTAGCATCTTAGATCCCCATGTCTAATGTTAAGACCTCAAGCACCGAAAAATACTAAATGAATTCGATGGAGGACGTAGGTTATCTGGAAGATCAACAACCTACCAGATTATATAACAACTTTGGTCATCTGCTTTCCATTTCTCTTACTCATTTTTCTTGAACCTCAGTGTAGTTCTGTGAAACTCTAGTTAATTATAGATCCCTGGTATTCTGCTATCTCCACCAGTTTGGCTGTCAGCTTTTCCCGGGAAGGTGTAAATTATTTCCACCCATTTTCATCTGTAAGGAAATACACTTAGCTCACATCCACACATGTGTAGTCCTCCCAGCCCTCCTTCCTCCAGCAGGTCCAGACTTTTCCCTTCTGTCCACAGAACAAGTAGCCTAAGGCACTAAGGCACTAATGGTGCTTCTCTGAGTAAATGTTAAAATTCTCTTCCCTTTGGCATTAGCTTCAGAACCAAGCTCTTGAAGCCAGGAAAAGAGTGATTTGTCTTATCTGGCTCCTCCTCTATGCTCAGGGAAGAAACGGCCTCTCTAAACCAAGTTCCACCTGATGTGTATTTGTTGGAAACCATACCTTCAGCCCTACAGAAGGGAAGGAAGGGAATCCTGACTGTCTTCCTGTAGGACGTCTCTCCCATGAGAAGATGGCCTGATGGTCCTCACGAGGCTGAATTAGACACCAGCGTCTCTCTGGAGATGGGGCCCCATGTGGAACTTCAGCACTGTTCTAGTTGCTTGTGGGGGTCAGGCCCCAGCTTCACAGGCTGCCAGCCATGCTTTCCTCTGTTTACCTCCATCTCCAACTCCACCGAAGTGACTTCTCAAAAAAAGAGTTGCCCATGCTCCCAGTGAATTTCATCCTCTGAGACTCTACACAGTGATCTGACCTCCTGGGAAACTTCCTAGCTTGTAGTTTTATGAAACTAATCAACTAAAGTCTGTCTTCACACCAAATTACTTTTCAGACACCTATATTTACAACCACAGCACAACAATAAGCCTTTCACATGTGGTTCCTTACTGTGGGCCCAGCAGCCATAAGGAAGAATTCATGATTTCCCCACAGGGTTCATGTCATTCCAGAACTCAGAATCCAGGTCATGATGTGTGAGAGCATCGGGTGTTTATTTACCAAACTGCCATTGCTTTGACACCTGACTCTGGGGAAAGTCAGAGGCTGTGCTGGAGTCAGCCTCTGCCTGAACACAGGGAGCTTTCCTGCTGGGCTTGATGACCCGCCTAAAGCAAGTGGAGTGGCTGGGATGAATGGTTGGGGACTGCAGAGCCCTCAGTCTCAGCAAGTCAGACTCAAATACACACCGAATGTGTCTGAAGACATCTTATCTTCCTGAAAAAAAGAATTCTAAATTTCCATGTCCAGGTTAAAAATTAGCTTGCATACAAACTGACATGCTCATGTGCAACCCAGAGTGATATCTGCTGTTTCCAAACTACCAGCACACGATGAAGTCGTGCCTATTTAGAATCTATTCAGTTTCATCACTTCTCGGCCTTTTGGCTAAGATCAAGTGTAGAATCTATTCAGTTCCACTCTCAATAACATATAAAAGTGTACATGTATGTACTTTTCCAAGTGCTTCAAAGGGAGTTTTGTGATTAAAGATAATGAATTGCTTTAGTCATTTTTTTAAAGATAGAGAAATGTTCTTACTTTGGGACCTTCCTGACCCAGGTTTTCTGAGCTATGTCAAGGATGAGTCACAGCATGGTCTAGTTCTGATCTTTGCATACCCAGTTCTGCTGCAGATGGTTCAGTGTTAATTAGCTAATCCTGTGTTTCAACTGGATATGTGCTGCTGAAGCGAGCACTCCTGTTTTTAAACTGAAGTTGTGTTTTAATTGTTTAGCAGGCAAGTAGATCTGTACCTCAGTGGTTAGCCAGTTCTGCGTGCCACTCCACATGCTGTTGATTTCTCATGCCTCTAGAAATTCCATTTCATTATTTAAAGTAAGCCAACGGCCCTTGCTTAAAAAGGCATAGGGCTGCATTTTCAGCTTATTCTTTAACCTGAATTTTGTGAGATGCAGAACAGAAACATTGCCCCTAAAACATCTCTGAAGACTCCTCTGGAATCCAGGCTCGGGGGCCAGAGAAGCAGAAGCAAGAGTCGTTTGAGGTCTTGCTTTGTGAGTTGGGTACATGCTACAGATCACGTGGGCCTGGAGAAACTTTCCAGACTGGGGTGTGGACTGCGCCCCACAGGCCTTCCTCTCCTGCAGAACATCTGTGGATCATATAGATCAGGTGTCCTCAGAAAATAGAGGCAGCTGTCCGAGCTCCACAGAGTTGCAAATGAATTCCAGGCACCTGGGCCACCTCAGAATGCATGATCCTACGAGGCGAAATGAAGTGTCTTACAGTCAAAGAGGGCAGATGGCAGCATGGGCCGTGAGCTCGGAGCCAGTGAATCCTTCGTGTGCACTGGGCTCCACAACTGTATGTGCGGCAGAAGCCCCCCCACCCCGGTAGGTGACAGGGATGGAAGCTCCTGATGGTCCCGTGGCCTCCACCATTTCTCTAAAGCCTGTCCCATAGTAAAAACAACTGAAAGGTGAGGCTGTTTCCTAAAATACACTGAAGGGCTCTTCTTTTCGCCAAAGGGTGAAATGGAAAAAGCTTAAAACCATCCAGCTAAGTGGCTGCACGGTTCCAAACTACTAACAGCCACGCACTGACTGACTTCATTACAAAGGTGGACGTTTCAGGAGAAAACAGGAAAGTTTCCTTAGTATGACAATGAGCTTCCCTTCAGGACTGTCTCTGCTTTATTCTTTGCATACAAAGATGCAGGATTGTTAAGCCAGCTTTATAGATCCTGCGCTGTTAGAAGCAGATCCCACAGAGTCAGGATGGCGTTAAGTGGCCTTCTCATCCACCAGAGGACAGGGCTTCTGGGTGTGTCCCGCCCAGAGTCAGCCACACGGCAGAGGCTTCCAGAGACCTCTTCACTGACGGACCACATCTGTAGAATCCCCAGGTCAGACAGCGTGAGGGGACCATCTGGCTTTCATTCATTCACATCCAGTGGTGTAAGCTTGAGCTCCTTGCTTCAGTCATCATGAAATGAAAGCCCCCCCCAGCAGTGGAGAGGAGCCTGGCGGTGCTCAGAGTGGCGTGGGGCGTGCAGCGGATCCTACAGGACACAAAAGTCAGCTGTCTCGGTGCGGATACAGAAGGAATGCATCTCAGTCACTCAAGGAAGCCCGAAGCTCCCCAAAGCGCGGCAGGAACTTGAGAGGAGGGAGCCCTGGCGTCAGGCAGCAGCCCACCCCGTATGGACGCCGCTGAGCTTCCCAGCGCACAAGTTCCAGTCAGGCCATCGTCCCGGTGACCTTGAGAAAGGCCCTCTCCCCCTCCAGCACACATCAACATTCGAAATCCGTGTGTCACTTTGTCTCTCATTTAATGCTAATTTATTTCTCATGCCTCTGGCCCTGTGTTCACCTTTGCAGAGAGGATTCCGTTTTCGTTATGTGTGCGAAGGCCCCTCACACGGCGGGCTTCCGGGTGCGTCCAGTGAGAAGAACAAGAAGTCCTACCCTCAGGTCAAAGTGAGTTTGGGGTCTTGACTTCCTCGGGGCCGAATCACAGAGCAGCTTCAGATGATTCATTTTGCCTTCTCTGCTAAGTAGAAGTGTTTACAAGACTGTTACAATTTTCAAACAGAAATCTGTCTCGTAGCAATGGAAGGAAGAGGTTTTTAAAACGGTTGATGTCTCCATGGAGCAGAAATGTTTTCAGTATCAGCCGAGAAACTTACAATTTCATGATAAACCTTCACACTTCAGAAACGCTTTGAAACAACTGTCTGGTTTGGGCTCCAGGGAGATCAGGGAACAAGACAGGGACTACGGGTGTGGATCATGTCATGTGCTGTTCAGGATCTGGCTGTGCACACTGCTGAGCCTCTGTCCTGCTGGGGACGAGGCGGAAGCAGCAGCAGTAGTGTGTGTTTTGAGGGGCCCTGCGGTAGTTCACTGAGGTCGCTTCCGTGTGTTCCACAGAGCCCCCAGGTCCCCGCCTCTGCCTGCATTGGGCCTTCTTGGGCTGAACCCCCAGACTCGCCTGGGCCTCTGCAGGTCCTCTCGCTGTTTACGGCCTTGACCGAGAAAGTCTTTCTCTGAGTTAAGTGAGGCTTTGCTTTCCACGTTTGGTACTGGTTTTGTAGGAAAACCAGCCCACCAACGAAGTGTAGCCGTTTATAAACATTTCAGTATTAGGTAACCCGAAGCTGAGGCCAAAGAGCCATCAGCGCTGCTTCTTGGGGTGTGCGCACCCCAGTGTGGAACACGCTTTGGGCTCCTGACTTTGTGGCGCTTTGTCTGTGTAAACTGGTGCTCAGCAGGTCTCGCCCTCAGCAAAACTGTGACGGAAGGAAATGGCTCTTTGGTTTTGAGAGGCTTGCACTGTTTCTGCTCTTCCCTTACACCCATCTAGGCCCATGCCTTCCTAAGTCTTAACCTTGTCTACAGCAAAAGGAAAAATACTGTGCTGTCATTGTTTACCTTTTGAGTGAAATGCAACCATAGTATTAGTCCTATGAGCTGTATTTTCAGGGAAGGCGTTTAGCTGTCCTTGTGCAATGAAGGATATTTTCCCTATTAAAGGTAATTGGACAAGTAAATGCAACGTCTTTGGTCCACAGAAGCAGAACCAATAAGTGGATGGATGGATTGGTGGATGGATAGAATAGTGGGTACATGGATGGATGGATGGATGGATGGATGGATGGGTGGGTGGATGAGTGGATGGAAGGGACTAGCTGGCATAATGATAGAAGCTAAGTCCCATGACAGGCTATCCCCAGCGGTACTGATAGAATGGCGTATTCCTAGTCCAGAAGCCTCAGAACCAAAAGATAATGGTGTAACTCTCAGTCCAAGACTGCAGAGCCCTGAGCTCTGGTCTCCGAGGTGGTGTGACCTGGCTCAAGGGGGAAGAGGGGAAAGATGTCTCTCTCTGGCTCATTGCTCTTTCTGGGCCTCCACTGATGGAAACACCACCACAGGCACACACAGAAATGGTGCCCGGCCAGCACGCTAGGTGTCCCCTAATCCAGCTGAGTCAACACCGAAAATTAACCATCACAAGAAGAGTCAAGGCCTTCAGTCCTTTAGAACCTGGATTAGGGATCAGGAACACCAAAAAAAGGAAGGGAATTACTGGGAAAAAGTCAGTGATTTGTTAATTATCATGCATATATTGTCTCTTTTAATTTCGTAACAACCCCTGAAGGTCGAAGGTACAGTGCCTGTGAGGAAACTGAGGCACGGGGAGGCGTTAACTGGCCTTTCTCGCAGGACTGTGGCTTTTTGTCCTTCAGCAGCCTGGCGCTCAAGACCCTCTCATGCAGACTGTGTGCAGTGAGGTTCGGGGACAGGACATGGAGGACCATGGCTGGATAAGGCACAGAGAAGACAATTCTGGAAGGCAAGGGAGAGAGGGCTTGGGACAGGGCAGCAGGTCGGGGCATCAGAGCCGTGTGTCATGTGAATATTTATTTATGCACACTTGTGAGAAGGTCACTGGAAGTCCTGTCTGTCGGCACTGATGCTGGAAGCTACTTAGGAACCCACCTGGGAGGGGCTGGGGTGCAGCTGGGCATGCAGCCCTTCCTGGCACACTGGAGGCCCTGGCTTCCATCCCCAGCTCTGAAAAAGATAGAAATCTGATTGCTCTAGGGCTCTGTGGCTCCGCACCTGCTCTTGATACTAACAAACACATGACATCGTCTTCATAAATTTATTTGCTAACAAAAATCTTCATCTGTTTAAGCTCCATCTTCATTCCGTCTCCTCAGAAAACATACTGCTGCCTCCCAGTCCCAAAATAATTTAGAGATGCAACAATTTAATGGGTGTTAGGTGTTCTTGTCCAGTCATACCTGTAGCAAGGCATTTCATGCTTAGTAGGAAGTCTATAAACTCTAATAATAAAGAAAGTCCAAATATAAACCTGCAGGATTGGTCATTATTGAGCCTCGGCTGGATTGAGTTTCTCATTTGCTAGTCAAGGGCATATTTACTAAAATGCCATCTGGTCAGAAGACAAGGAGGAACTTAGAGTTTCCCACCCTGACCTCTAGAAGCCACCCCATTGTCCTGGCTGGCACTGTTCACTGAGAGGTCCAGTAGCTCTGTTGTTTGTAAGAGTTAATGGAAATCATTCTGTTGTAGAAACTGTTCATCGGAGGGACGAGAGAGGGAAGTAAAGAGGAGTCGAAAAGAAGGCCTTTTTTCTGGAGCTTTTCTTCTAGGATCCCTGTAACAGTCTTTCTGTAAGGGATTCCCATGGATGACCAGTCATCTCACAGAGGGATTTTAAGTCCCTTTCTTCCGACACTTGGGCATCAAAAAGGGGTGTTCTCAGCATCCCCTGAAATTGTCAGATATCCCCTGGCAGGGATCACCCAGCTTAGAACCACTGGTGTAGACACAACCCTGACTCCATCTCACCTTACGCTGTTGCACCCTTTTCCAAAGTTGGATCATGCCCGTGGTATGGAATTGTCCACTTATGAGTATTACTTGATAAGCACACATGCTTTTCCTGATTAGTATCAGCAGGTGTTTTTTTTCTCGAGACAATGTCTCGAGACAACCATAGTTGTCTGAACAATTTCCCCTAGAATCTCTGAACTACTTTATGTGGATATTAAGGAGAAAGATGGAAAAGTCACACATCTTAGGCATTCCCTAGCATCTAACAACTGCATCTTGGATGTGGAAGCTCTGCTGACCACTAGGAGCCATCACAGAGGAGAAGGGAGGGTGGACATGGGGTCTGGTCCACTGCGCCTCCCCCAGGGACACTGTCACATGGTGGGAGGGTTATGCGATGCCCAGGCCCAGCCCCAAACCCATCCCTGCAGCACTTCAGAGAGGCATCCACATGTCCGGAGAGAAATGCACTTCAGAGCCCTGCGTGTGCCCCATATTTAGTCATTGCATTGTTCAGTCTTGAAGACCAGACAAAGCACAGTGGGTGCTGTGGGTGCTATCTTTTCCCCACCTGCAGCCCCCTCCAGTCACCTCGCTCCAGCTCTCCCTGCCCACTGTGCTGACCCCAGAAGACACCAGGGGGCTGGCAGTCCCCCCATGTGGCTACACAGGAGCAGCTCAGGGTCAGAAGCCAGCCCAAAGGCCCTGGAGCTGGTGGTGGGGGTTGAGGGCTGCAGAATCCAAGCCACACTTTGTGAGACTTGTTGACTTGGAACCCTCAGGGGACTCTCACTGGTGGTGCACATGAATCGCTGAAAGCCAACTCTGCTCCTGCACTCCCAGCTGGGGTGGCGCCCTGCACAGAGCCCTGGTGCAGGCCAGTAGGACAGGTGGGGTTGTGTGTGCCTCTCCTAGCTCCGTGTGCCTCTTTCATGGAGCTGAGAAGAAAGAATCACACTAAGCTTTCTGGTGTCTTGCTGTGATTCTTTCTTTTCTATTAAAATATTTAAAATTATAAACTAGTTCGGGCATATAGAAAGTTTTCAGACTGGCCATAAGTTGAACAGACAGAACATTTCACATTTTCATGGTCACAGCTAAAGCACACCCCCACGACCCCATCACAGAGTCCATTACTATAGGGAAACTGCTATCCAGAGCTCTGTCTTTCTTGGAGCTGTTTTTATGTGTTTACTACCTAAGTACACATTCACAAATACTGGGGTTCTCAAGATCAGGGTGGGGGATTTAGCTCAGTGGTGACACCGCTGGCCTCGAAAGCACAAGGACTCGAACTCGATCCCTGGTACCAAAAAAAAAGATCATACGGCTTCATTCAATATTTTGATTATATATCGTGGCTCCTTCTCAGGCTACATGAGAGGTCATTAAAGATTAACCCAGCCTCACTTTGACCCCACGGATCCCTCTGGACTGTGAATAAAGATGTGCTCATCCACAGTGCAGTTTGTGCTGCCTCTTGAGGCAAAAAATAAGACTCAAGGAAAAGTTGAAGGAGGGTAGATTTGCAGGCTGACTTCTGCCCTGCCCTGTTTTAAGGGAGGTTTTCCTGTTGCTAACGGGCTAGTAGCCCACTGCACCGGCCCAGGGTCGGTGGGGAGTTGGCCTCGGTGTCTGTGAGGTTCTGATTTACACTGCCCTGGCAGCAGCGCAGAACTCCAGGCCCAGCTAGTCCCTGCCTGCTGGTGACTCAGTGGGGAGTGCCCAGGAAGGCTCCTGTCTCCTGTTCCCAAAAGTTGGGCCAGAAGAGTTTTAATCTCCCTGCCTTCCTCTTTACCAAGGCCTGGCGACATTGTCCCTCAGTACCCCCGCCATGGCACCGCTGGACACCCTCTACCTTCTCTGTATGGAATATAAATCAATACCGGCCACTTTGTTTCCAAAATGCCAAGATCTGTTAGTGTTATTTTCTCTTTAATTGTAACTATCAAAATCAAGGGGCTTGAAACAAAACTGATACAAGTGTAGCTGTTTTTAATGAAGTGATTTTGTGAACGCTGACCCTGGGGTTTACACCTATGGAAAGGCTTATATGAAACTCATATCACCACCCCAAACACCAGTTAAGAGGCAGAATCCCCTCTCGGAGC